TGTATACATTACGGCGACGATGACTATTTAGATAGCTGATTGGTCTGTGAGGAAGGTCATAGAATAATTTGCATTAATTCAAGACTTACTCTATTGTCAGGCTGAGGTTTTCCAATGCCACCGCCTTCAGACCAATCATTCTGCTGACGATTAGTGGTAGGAGCCAGTTTCTGCAGCTCGGCGGTCCAGAACCATCCATTGATCTCATTGGGCAGCAGGTCAGGACGATTGCAGCCCTTGAAGTCACACAGACGGCCTGACGTCCAGATGTATTTTACCTAAACAGAATAAAATGCAAAGTTCGGTTTATGCCCGGCTTATCAAGAGGTTTCTAGAATACGAGTACCTACACAGGACAATTTGTTCTGGTTAATTCAAGCAACCCTTAAAATATGTCATACCTACTCATTACGTTTAAAAAAGTGAACATCATTAATAGTTGAGACTGTAAAGCGGAATAAACCGGCAATTCGCAGACAATAGCATCAACATATCTCTACATTGTTTGCAATTTGTCTCAATTGAATATCAAGCCCTTACAGTCTTAGCCTCAAACGCCACTTGATTAACATAACAATACTCTGTGCCGGGACAATGGCCATTATTGACCTTTATTATGGACAATTTGCAATTTGCTTTGTGCATTATCTAATTCTTTTAATGTATTTATTAAATTTAATTAGATGTTGCTGTGTATGTTTTAGGCTATGTATTGGATAAAGGCATAAAAAAGGATTTATAAACGTTAAAGAAAGCTGTAACTTTATCCAAGGTGTGGCCGTAACTTGCACTTACTCATCGTCGTCTTACTTATAGGTCCTACTTCCTTCCTTCGTTATGACTGTGACATCACCTTTAATCTTCCATAACACTTTCCGTGTTACATCAATGAAACTGTTATACAATCAGTTTGATTTACGACAATTACAAAAAGGGCCACTTCGCAATCGTCATCGCGTTTTACGCATTTGTTAAGCAACAGAACAAATAAGACAAATCGAGTTTAAATTACAAAGAAATAGCTTGTCAATAATTATTTTTCCTGTATGTAAGTACAAAACATGGATTCCCACGAAATGAAGAACATGATGTCAATAGTGAAACTCTGGAGGAAAATTGATTAGACATCGTATTGTGTTCCCGGTCACGTCGACACATAGCTGAGTTTGGAGATTTGCATGCGTCAGCAGGTACTTCACGGGTTCTTAGTGACAATGGGTAAGTATTCTCGAAAGCAATCCAAAAAACAAGAGCGTTGGAATTAGTTAAGGCTACGAATGCAACTTTCTACTCTATTCAGTTCGGTCTTGAAAGGAGAGGGTCCGCGTCACGGTCACGGCGACAATTTTTGGTCGGAACCTATAGTTGTAGACTTGTAGGTAGCATATGAACAAGCAAAATTTGTATGGGTGGGTGTCACCAAGGGTGAATTTCAAGGATCCTCTGTAGTAGCTACACATTTCAAAAAAGTTACAATACTTGTAAGTGCTATGTTTTGTTACCATGACGATTCAGCAATCTCACTAAACAGGTCAAGGTTGAAAAATTGTATTGTGTGAAAAATATGCACAATTGCCTAAGATACTTGAAATTCATTCAAAGAACAGGACAGACCATTTTGACTGCTTGTTATTTCCATATTGCGATTGTCTACATATTTGTTCTAAGAGGAAAAATATATTATGTTAACACACTTTACAAAAAAATTTTTGGTCACACCAATTTGAAGGTGAGGCCGCCGGAAATTATATTAGCGAATTCAGTTTTGTCTTGCGGTTTAATTGAATTCACGGGTATTGTCCCAATGTACTTTTGGATTCAAGGTTTTCTTGCAGTGTGGTTATCATTAGAAGCTACCAAAATTATATTCATATTAGTCTATAGGAAGAGTTTTATTAATTAAGAAGGGAGACTACATAGGTATATATCACCGGTATTGACTATCAAATACTACAATAAGGATATAGAATACGTAGAAGGTTTGAATATAGAAATTTAATATTTAATGCTTACAATGGGAATAAACGGCACCACATTCCTCCACCGCTACAGCGTTGTATACACTGTAGCCTACACACTGTAGTGCTGCTTTTAAGTTCTTGCTGTGTTTGGGACTCGTGTTGCTGCTCGAAGTCTTTCGTAGAAGTAATCCAAATCTTACCTTGTCTTGCACGATGCGTGCCTTAACCCATTCATTTTCGTCGCTGGTCTCTAGGGAGACGAGGTCCATGCAGCGCTGGCGGCAATAGTTGCGTGCACTCAGCCAATCTTCTTCCACCCCACGTAGTGCCGGATCTCGCCATGAGAAGAAGTATCCTTTGTCTGACGGAGAATACGTGGCGTCAGATATTTAGCATATTTTATAAAAGTAATAAAAGGAAACAGGACTAAACTGGATCTGTTAGTTCTTTCGTTAACATTTCAAGACTGTTTATGCCGTAGAATTTGGGGTTTGAAGGAGTTTTGGCCATAGTTAACTATTTTAACAGAATATTGTTTATATTGACAGCACATACCTAACTATTACCTACATTTTATTTGTGTTGCATCGAATTCATCATTCAATCTTTTCAGTTGATTCATTCGTATGAATCAACTGAAAAGAGAATCGATAATAATTAAGATTTGAATGTGGGCTTTAGCATGATCGGAACCTTAGGCAAGGGAAGCGGGGCTCAACAATAAATGCAATTTTCAACAATACACTAATGGTCACAAGGTACATCTGCAACAACGCCCCGGCAAGGTAAATGACATTGCAGGTATTATCGTGTCTCACAAATGTTCGCATATTTAAGAGTACTGGAGCAGTTCTTACCTATTATAATGGCCCGAATAACAACTCCATTTATATGTGTTACTTAGGTATAATATATCGACTATTGCTTCTAAACTATATTTACTAAAATATATTTTAGTTTGTTTATGGACCCAGGCGTGTAATGCTAATCATAAATTCCAAAACAAATCACTATTTCAAGTTTTGAGCCAAAGATACCAATTCTCCATCCTTGTCATAACTAACGCATTTAGTGCAATTTGGTAAATTTCGAGATTGTGACACCTAACATTTTTTTTGTTAGTAAAAATGACAATTAGGGTTGATTTTAATTAAGAATAAAATGAAACTTACTAATATATAAAAAAGTGATTAGAGGAGGTTGTAGATCTCGTTTCACTGAATGCGTTGAGCGTCGAATACGTTCAACCAGAGACATTATTTGCCCTTTTTATCATAACTAACATAAGTTATGATAAAAAGGGCAGATAATGTCTCTGGTTGTTTTGCCAAACAATGAAAGAGTTGTTGTCTTCGATACCCGTAACCATGAAAAAGGCTAGCAATGTCTTGTTCCGTGTTGTGCAGTGGACCAACGAAGCCACACGTTTGTCCTGAACTCGCGAAATTATAAAAAAGTTATTACACGTCTCGTAAGACTAAGAATTGTGTAAGCGTTTGCAGTGGCGGATTTGTAGTCTTGGCCGCCCTAGGCCCCAGGCCATATAGTCAGTACCAGCCGCCCCTTCTCAGCACTCATCATATACTGGTAGACTACATAATGAATTTACCTTATTGCCAACTTTTATCGAAAACAGTTCAGAAATTTTTAATATTTTTCTAGAATATTGATTTGATGTATCTTTGTTCGCACGCCAGTAATAAGCGCCTAGCTAATGATTTTTCCGACATCTTCAACAATTATCGTCATATTTCAGCCAACTTACACCAAATCTAAATAAATTATACACTCAAAACTTCCTCATGAATCACTCTGTCTATTCGTGGAAACCGCATGAAAACAGTTCAATAGTTTTTGAGTTTATCGCGATCAGACAGACAGACAGACGCGGTAGTGATAACATGTAGTGATGTAGTGATTATACATTACAGATATTTTTACAGATTTATAGATATTTACATTTTATGTAATATGTAACATCTATATTTTGTGCACAAAATGTATGAAAGTGATTTAGGAAGATTATTGTTATACGATGCGGTGCAGTGCGGTTCGCCGTAATGTTTGTGAACCTTCAGAATATTTAGGTACTTTGAGTTATTTCTTGTTATCATCAGTGAATTTTTTGTCACGATTGGTCATCCCTAAAATCAGGCCGCTCTGGCCCGAGCCTGCTGGGCCTTGGGGCAAATTCGCCACTGAGTATTTGTTTAAACTTTGTTACAAACGAATGAGTTCATTCGCAATTAGAGACGATTTTTTAAATTGTTCAATTATGGATGAATAACTACCTCCACGATTCACTTTTCAGTACAGGTTCTTTGTTACGTCACTGAATTTAGATGCATCCATCATTATAAGAGATTCGTCGTATCTACCCGGCCCTTACATAGTTGCGTACATGAGTAAATTATATGTATTCGTAATTGATGACTCTACCGTCATTTTAAGACAATTAATTTTGTCTTTACGTTTTTACTACTCGGAAATATTACCATTCATACACAATAGTCAGTGTAAAAGCGTGATATTGTTGTATCAAGTAAACTATGAGAACAGAAATGTCTAGCAATAGAAACTTGCTTTCAATATTGTTGCCTCATTGTTACATACGTACTGACAGGATTAACTTCCCCGTGCTATTGTCTTGGTAATCGCAGACGGTGATATAGCGCTTCTGTTGTTTTTGTTTAGCTTTTTGAAGTCGGGTTATTATTTATTGCTTTTACTTGAAAGTAAGCAACAAAGCATTTATCGCGATTATTATTATTGTTTAGTTTAGTTTGAGTTGCGTTAAAATACACACTCTACGTAAATGTTACTTGGCCTAGAACACGATCGCGAATTATATGTACTTATGACATTATTGTAAGTCAATGGCCACTATGTACAAATTTTGCTAGACATTAGTTAGCAGCAGTAGAGCTCGTTGTGATAGAGGTCGTCCAGGGAAGTACTGCCACCTTACCTATTTCTGCCGCCCAACAGTAATACGAAGGGTATGAGTGCTGGTGAAATTACAGTCACATGGGACTAGTGATGCAAGAGATTCAGTCTTTTAAGGCGTTTTATAACAACTCGACTTTTACAGGACTTGACTCTAAAATTAAGACTGGAGGGGATTGTTAATAAGATTCAGTCGTTATACTAAAAGACTCAAAAGACTTAAACGACTTGAAAGACTTGAACGACTCGAGTTGTTTGCAAAGGACTTATACCTATTTTCTGTCTTATTAAACCCGAAGTTTATAAATAAAAATGACGTAAGTAGTATGTAGTAAATAATCACGTTTATTTGATATAATAAAAATCGTAAAATAAATACCTTGTGGGTAGAAATAAAATCACACCATACGGCTCATGACTCGCGACTCCCGAGGCTATGAGGCGCCAGTCGTTTTAGTCCAATAAGTGTTTTAAGCTTCCTAGCGTTAAAAGACTTCGACTTGAATTAGTCTTCAGTTTTAGTCTTATGACTCAAGACTTGAGGGTTAAAAGACTAGAGGTGTTAAAAATTAGTCGAGGCTTTTTAAAAGGCATTATAAGACTGAGTCTCTTTCATCACTACATGGGACTTGTCTTATGTCTCAGGGTGACGAGTGCAGTGGCAGTGTCCCTCTTTGCGATTTGAATCTCTGAGTAGCACTGCAACTGTTATGGACAGGCGTATAGCTTACCATCAGGCACACAACTCAACTTATTTAACGTGATTGAGTATTAATTAAATTGAGTGATAAAATATGGGTCGCCCGGACAGGGACTTGAACCCTGGACCCTTGGATTAAAAGTCCAATGCTCTACCGACTGAGCTATCCGGGCAGTAACGGCAGTATCGAAACGAAAATACTCTCGGATAAAGAGTTTCAGTTGAGTCATCGAAGCGCCAGTAGAGGTGATTCAAAGAAAACAGTCGGGCAAATTAACAGCTTAGTAAACAGACTGTTTTAATAATAACATAATTATTGACTATTAAATGAACGTTTCACGCATATTTACATTTTAAATATAAATAGTCAAATAAAGTAACTAGGAAGGTCAAAGTTACGCTCCGGTTAAGTGCGTGAGAAAGAAAACAAAGGAATAATAAGAACATATTCTATAGTACCTTCGTAATAAAAAAAAATCAAAATTAAAGAATACAGGTATTTTTAATTTCATTTTTTTGGAATGTAGAGCGGAAATTGATGTATATTTACTTTTAATTATTTATAGTGTTTGTTGATTAAGATGAGAGTTAACACGACAAACCTTATTTGTATTTGTGCCTATATAAATACCTTATCATAGGTAGATTCTACGTAAATATCAAACACTTGAGTCGTATTTTAATGATGTGTTATCTCCAGAAAATATCTTAACTATTTCCTTTTTTAAAATGGGTCAAAAAAGTGTGTCTTATCACTGACGACTAACAACGAGACTGATAAAAGACATTCCATGGATAAAAGCATAACGCAAACATTGTTTAAGTTTGATGATAATTAAATTTCACTACCGTAACATTGGCGTGTACAGTTGCTGGAGCTGGTGTGATTTTGAAAACGGAAGACAAAGGCGAACAACAACTGTAGACGGTTTCTTTTCAAAGTTTAATTTTCCTTCTTTTTCAAAAGAAATTTATTTATTCATAAAGATAAAAATATAACTATAAGCTTAAATACCGTGACCGAGGGCGAAGTTGAGAAAAATATCTTGGCCGTTAAAACCAATGCTGAAGGGCTGGATGGAATAAACCGTAAGATGATCTTACACGGTTCTTCAATTCTTGTTCCTATAATTTGCCATATTTTCAACTTTTCTCGACACTGGCACCTTCCTGAGCTGCTGGCGTCAAGCTGCTGTAGTACCTATACCTAAAACCTCCAATCCATCTTTACCTTCTCATTTTTGTCCTATTTCTATTCTTCCGTTCCTTTCCAAAGTACTTGAGCGTGTTGTCCATTGCGAGATCACAATATTCGTGAACTCGTGCAATATCCTTAGTCCTTTCCAATCTGGCTTCCGTTCAGGGCATAGCACTGTTTTAACCAAGGTATCTGATGACATTCGCGAGGGTATGTCGAATCAACATCTGACAGTATTAGTTCTCTTAGATTTTAGCAACGCGTTTAATACTGTTGACTTTGATATTCTGTTAGCAATGCTGAAATCAGTCCTTGTGTCAGATTTGGTAGTGGAGTGGTTTCGCCACTACCTCGTTGGGTGTCGGCAATGTGTTCGTGTCGACAATAAGCATTCTAGCTTCTGTGACGTTACTGCAGGCGTGGCTCAGGGCGGGGTTCTCTCTCCCCTTTTTGTTCCATCTTTATATACTCCCTTACTCCCTTACTTTCTTGCCAGTAACACTTGTACGCCGATGACCTTCAGATTTATTCTCAGTCTCCTGTGTACGACGTGGACAATTTAGTCGCCGAACTTAATGACGATCTTGCGACTATACACGATTGGAGTCGAACCCATGGCCGTACGGTCAATCCTAACAAGTCGCAGGCCATCGTCGTTAGAGGCTCGAAGCAAATCTTCAACTCCTTCCCTCTGCCTTACAGTAATGTTGTTAAAAATCTTGGCGTTCTTTTTGACTCCACTCTGTCTTGGTCGCCATATATCGCTGAGGTGAGTAGGAGGGTGTTTGCTGCCTCTGGGTCATTGCGGCGTTGGAAAAATCTGCTTCCTGTGAGGACTAGGGTTGACCTTGCGCAATCGTTGCTCTTACCTGCTCTTGATTACGCTGATGTCTGTTTCATTGATTTTAATGAGGATCTGTTAAGCAAACTCCAGCGTCTACAGAATCTTTGGATCAGATTCATATAAGGGTTGCGCAAGTTCGATCATATGGCCGAATTTAGGAGAAGGCTTTAGTGGCTCCCTATCAAGTTGCGCCGTGAGGAGCACGTTTTCAGCTTTCTTTATAATGTTCTATTCGACCCTCGTAGTCCGCCATACCTTAAGGTTCGTTTTCGCTTCCTCGGGGATGATCACAACCGTGAACTAAAGTCTAAAATGGATAACCTACTGAAGCCTCCTTTCACTCGCTCTGAGTATTACAAAGATTCCTTTACCATTAAGGCTGCAATATTGTGGAACGATCTCCCATTTGAAATCCGACATTCTAAGTTAGTAAGCTACCTATTTTCAAAACCGGATTGCGTAAATATCTTTTATCACAGTCCTAGTCTGCAACGTGTGTATTAGTAAGTATAAGTTATTAGTAAGTATAAGTTTATTTAGGTATATTTATACATACATATATCTACGTAGGTATAATATATCATTATTTATTAAATATTTTATAAATTACTATGTGTCATTATTTAATTTTTTTATTTTGTATTTGTTTTAATTTATACTATTTATTTTTTTATTTTTATATTTGTAAAATTGGCACACTACGTCTCTCGCTCCGATTAGATTTCCTCTAACTCTAAGGTTGTCTGGAAGAGATCGCTCTTAGCGATAAGACAGCCTTTGCCCACATTAGTTTTAAGTTGTTTATGTACTATTCTTGTTCTTGTGTGTGAGCAATAAAGTGTTTATCTATCTATCTATCTTAAATACACTAGCGTGACCTATCACGCTAGACTCCTAAGTCGAGCTAGCTCAAAGAGTGAAACTGGATCCCCGCGGCCTGCTGCCCAAAATCCTAGCAGTGTTCGCTCTTTACATGGCTAAGGTTGTATTTAGTCTATAAAGCATTTTTTTAATCGACGATAAACAAAAACCAAGTGTGGAATCTTGATGTAATTGGTTAGGATAGTCTGTAGTAGCTTAGTATTGCTTGATATTAGATTATTTTGTATTAATTATTGGATTAGAATACTCACTGTCAACGTATCTTTCATGGATCGTCCTTTGGACGCACTGCGAAGGTACTGGCGGTTCCAAGATGCGGCCATTGGGGAATTGCGCGTTGGCAGCGGCTAGTGCCGCAAGGATGAATACTGTGCTGAATTGGGCCATCTGTTGTAATAAATACCATTTTGGTTAGAACCTTCAATAATAACGAGGTGCATGGTAGATTATCTGAAAAATGTAACCAAAGTAAAATAAAAAATTAGGCAATTACATACACGATTAATTCTATAATTGTAATTTATTCCAATATGGCGGAAGTATATTATGTCCCTGTTGGTAGCAACAGTATCTAACACAAGACGCCGTTCAATGATGTCATTTCTTTAAAATGTTTACCAAACTAAGCTAAACGAATTTTACGATTATCTTGAAGATGAGTCGGTTCGGCGGTTAAACAAGGTTGGGTTCTATACTAATATTTATTATGAAGAAATTTATATCCAATAGATTCCGGTTATTTAACATAAAAATTAAAGTACATTAACATTCCCTTACTTATGTTTTTTTTTGAATAGACGATGAACTTTTTGTATTGAGTTAAAGATCATGGATGCATATCACAAAAATAATTAATTTTGTGTAATAAAGTAGTATTTCTTCTATTTTATAGATGTAAAGGATAATCTACACAAGAAATGTAGTGAATTTATGTACTTATGGACTTAAGCAATAAAATTGTCTTATATCGTAGGTACATCATTACATTTATAATATTTATAAGTATCCTTTATAACCTCTTAAGACCCAGCAAACTACAACGGAAAAAGTGCTATTACATTAAATACATTAAAATGTACTAATTATAATAGCATGCTTTGTGTTCAGGCCCGAGCAAGCACGCCCTCAGGTTTGTATGAAACACACAACCGGGATTTTATAAAGTAGGTATGTGTCTAGATACCCTTTGGTCATAAAGAATATTATATGGCTAAATTTGAATGCGATATTTTCATTATAATATACACTACGTATAAACATACGAATAAATATTGTCGGGGTCTGAATCGCTTCCTATATTATATACATTTTATGTACACTGGGCTTTAAGAAGATAAAGAATTATAATGTTAATTTAGGATTGGAAGTCCAACTTCTTAATTTTGAAGTTCGAGGACGTGCTAAGTCACTTTCCCTGGAGTTATGTGGATTACACAAGCGGTATTGTTAAAGGGCAGGACCGGTCGGTAGAAAGTGACCTCACAGAACCCCGGTTCCCTCCGGTTCTCTCGCCCTAATGCCACCAAGGAGTTCATTCCTCCCACATTTACACTATCTACTAGAAAGGTCGTTTTCGGTGACTATTTTGGAAAGAGAGCAGCGAATATAAATTGAGATATTATGGAAATTCCATACATGACCACGGAATTTAAACTATATAGAGCAATTTGACGAGTTTATGATTCGTAGGAGAAAACTTTATAGTTAAAAGATTAAAGTAGACAACTTTAGAGTTGGTATGTTAATAGTAAAGAAACTTATATAGAGTTTTAGTATTTTTGGAGAGCTTTAAAACGTCAGATAATGTAATTATTGTTACACTATTAATTTTAATTCTTTTTGTGATACCTGAACAAGGGCTAATCCCCAAATTTTTCAAAACTTTTTTATTATAAAATATCAAAATCACTGTACAATGGCCTTTCTAAAAATATATCAAGAGTTCACACGTAATTAATTGCTATTGTTGTTTAGATCTTCTCGTACTAATACTACTACCTATCTCGAATACTTTTTTTACCTTTTTTAATTAATAAAAGGAACTTCTCACTAATTACCTTGATTTAACGTAAAAAGAAAATTAACTGAGTGGTTTTTACTCACCGTGTTGCGTCCGCGTCGTGAATCCGTCACAAACTGATGCGCGTGGGCATAGTCGCGCCTTTTTATATAGGGAAAGACCGACACCCTGGGGCGGCTATATTACACCCTGAGAATTAATTCTGAATAATTTAATATCTAGGTAGGATGATTAATAAAATAATGACTATAATATTTAAAAGAGGATAGGGGTTGCGGAAGCTTTTATCTCGTCGTAAATCTTTGTTTGTAAAACTAGTGTCTTGTTTTGTATTTGATTATGATTAATAAATACTTAGACAAATAGTCAGGGACCGTCTTTTTCATTTAACTTGACAAAATTTATTTAAACGTTTTTAGAACAACTCGATAAAATAATGAACTAAGTCTGGGTTTATGTGCCTATGTTATATCGAGTTCTTAGGTTTTCGCGATTGCACTACATTAGAAATAATAATAATAATATTAATAACGCACACATTCATAGCCCCGCACTAGGCAATCTGTATCGCGGGTGCCATGGAACACACATAGACAACCACAAAATTGCACCCTAACTCACAAGTGAAATAGATGTAGGCCATGCAAATATTTATCCCGGTCCGGGAATCGAACCCGAGACCTCTGCGTGACGGTCCAGCATGGTAACCTTCGGACACAGGCAGTTAACTGAAATTATTATTGCCGGAGCTAAATCGCGAATATCTCTTCTATCTTCAATATAACAATATAATCTTTCAAACAAACCAACGTAAACCTAAAGTGTTTAAGTTAACAAATACCAGTCAGTAGTCGTGACCATTTATCTGTTCGTTCGAAAATTGATATATATTTGTTAGATATAGATCTTTTCAATCTATGCAAAGCTCAATCATAGCTAATACCTATTCGACTCTATTGTATTGCGGAATATGAGGACTTGACGAGGCCTGTCCAACTTCACAAAGAGCTTTAGTAGCCTAGTGGGAGAACAATTGCTTCTTAATTGGAGGTCTTCTGTTTGAACCCTGTGGCGATTGTTCTTATAGTAAGCGGCATAGGGTTCAATTTAAAGTTTCAAACTAGACGTGCTCTTGTCGTTGTCTATGATTTTAATTTCTAAGTTACTTGTGAATGGTTAGTAGCGATACTTTTCGTTAATGGTAAAGATAACATCGTGATGAAACCTGCATGTTGAGGAAGGTTCACAACCCTATAAGGGAGTAGGTATACATATCGGTTGATGATGAGAAACGAATGAATAACTGAAATATTTTTGTAGATATTAAGACTTATGACCAGTGACCATTGCGTTTAAAATTTTTTATTTTATTTATTTTTTATTTATTTATTTAGGCAACAAACAGTCATATACTTGAGCTTGTATAAAAATATACTATCTAGGAAATGGTGTCTAGAAATTAGCGACTGTACATTATGTCTTTTTACACTATCTTCGTAGTCAGTGTAGTAAAATCCAGAGCGATAGTCCAAGGATTTTAAAAATTTCTTTTGAACTCTTTCTATTCATAGGAAATGAAACTGTTTTTCCGGATTTAAATCGCGTATATTTGTTTTTTCAAATCGTTTTTCAAACACAGTCAACCGTGACCATGGGACCTGTAAAGGGCCCGAAACGTCGGTTTGTTTGAAAAAACAAGTATACGCGATTTAAATCCGGAAAAATAGTTTCATTTCCTATGTGTAACAATCGCGAAAACCTAAGAACTCTTTCTATTCTCTTGGTGAAATTTAGTAGGTAGGCATTTTGTAATGCACATGCGCAATCCAAAGAAATCTGTGTTAAACCTAAGCTTATCAACAATGAAAAAATATTTGATAGTGATGATAGATAATTCATGACTCTTGATTAAAATCTATATTTTTCAGTGTTGGTTCTTATATATCTTTTTTTTTTCTTCAGAGATTCCTTTTCTTCTCATTATAGTTGAGTACAAAACAGTTAAAATACAGTATACTACTAACTACTGTGGTGGATTTTACCTACTTTCTGCAAGAGCACGCGTGTCGCTCGGCGTGTACTTACCCACATAATTGTTGCGTAACACTCTATGCTAATTTCGACAATTTTATTTACGTATGTCGATCTGGTTTATGTGATATTTTTTGTCACTGGTAGGTACTTGAATATTAATTGGTTAAGCAGAACAAACCTATAATTAGCGTAACAAAAGTCCTTTAAATTTGTCAGAGAGATGATAGAGTTTTAGTACCTAAATACATATTAATTGTTAATAAAATTGCTGATTGCAAATACTAGGAAGTTTGAAGTACGATATCTTTGATTTTACGAGAGTTACAAATTAAAATTATAGGTTATAATATAGCTATATATTTCTTTTTAAAAATGAGTTATTAATTTGTTCTTCAGCTGTCCGATTTTTCTTTGATTTAGCTGCAAACAGCTTTTCCGTAGTTACAAATAACCACGAAAAATTGCGTGTTATTTTTGAATACGAGTTCTTTCGTGGCACCAGCGCAGTAAAGACGGTAAACAGTATAACGATATGTATGGACGAGATAGAGCAGGTAAGCGCACACTGCGTTTTTGGTTTGGTCTTCTTTCGTTCTGGAAGTTTTGATCCCAACTATGAGCCCATGGCCGACCGGATACGAAAGTTGATAACGAGAATTGAAAACCATAGGAGAAGCAGATTCATCTCAAACAACGTCGAAATTAGCAACAAATTTCAACGTAAGTGATAAAACGATACCTGTTGATTCATTTGCTTCAGAGTGGACAGATAATAAAGCTAAGAAAGTGGGTGCCGTATGAACTCACTGAACAATAAAAACAAAATCGCGTCGAAGCTTGGCTTGACTTGTTGAATAGGCACTCAAAGGAGGGGATTCTGAATCGGATAGTCACTTGTGATGAAAAGTGGATCTTGGATGACAATGGAACACGTCAGTCGTACTGGTTGGCCACAGGGGAGGCAACCAAACCATTTCCCAAACGCAATTTGAGTCGGAAGAAGCTGCTTCAGAGTGGATGGTCGACCTATCCGACATTGTTCATTACAGCTTCTTGAGACGTAGCATAACAATTGCAGCATAGGCAAAATTGAATTTCCGTTAAAATGGCAAAAGTGCATCGACATTAATGTTCAATACTTGGATTAATTAAATATATACTTGTCTTTTTTTTTCTTCAATTATCTGTAGAAAGCGGCAGTTTCATAGGTAACGACGTAAATTAATGCGTTACACTCGAAGATAGCTGAATTTGACCAATAATATGGACAACTTTTACTAAAGAGATCCCTTTAAAATCGCAAAAAAAGCATCAGCTCTGTACTAAATCCATTTGAACATAATAATATAATGGTATATTAATGGATGGAATCGCTCTCTAATTAAAGAAATTAAGTTACAGGTTATTAACATGTGCATTGTATAAACGATAGTATTAGTGGTATTATTCTGTCAAATATAAGAGGTAATCCTTTATATATCTATACAGTTTTTACGAGTATATGAAAATTAAAAAAAAATGGTGATGTAAAGCCAAAAAAGTAGGAATAGAAAAATAGGCCGAGTGTGTACATTAAGTACTTAAATTACTCACTCTCTATAATTCGTTAATTTGCAGCTTTGTACCTTTAGATAGAAAACTAAATTTTTATTGACGTTATTGTAGGTAAATTTTTGTTAAATAAAACTTCTTAAAACGAGTTTAGGAAAGTTTTTCTCTGTAATGAAGGCGTAAAGTGCGAGCCTTTATGTAACGATTATGGAAAAAGGCCAATAAAGGTGACAGTGGAACGTTCTGCGACTGAGTACGTGCCGGTGATGTTAATCACTTTCCTTTGGGCTCGCACGCATGGACCAAATTACGAACCACACAAGAATGTGTTATTTTGCGAATTCAGTTAAGTTTTCTTAACTGTTTAGACTCATTACCGTTTTCTTTCTTGACGAAGGCAAATGGGGTAAGTATTTTAAATTATAACGACTTATGGTTAACTCATAATATCGGTACAAAGCACTAAAAAACAATCTTCAAAAGTAATTCATCCCCTAGTTTGCCACCCTTATAGGTTGTTACCCAATGTTATCGTGTAATGTAAAGGATCTGCTAATTGGCGACGCTCAGTCTTGCTAAGGGTGCGTCACTTTCCTATATCTATGGTCACACGTACTGAGAATACGATTCGTAAAATATATATTATTGCGGTGAGAATATGTTCGTGTGCCTCAATTAGTAGGTAGTCTTATGTAATGGTAATGTATTATTTGTGTACTGTAGGTTTAAAAAAAATCTCGTATTCTTTTTGCTCACTAAAGAATGGCTAATCAATAGTTTCAAAAAGCCGTCAAAACCCTAAAACAAAGATCTGCAACAAGCACATAGAAAAATTCATCAGGTCTTCGTGTTCGTTCCGCAGCCGGGTCGAAGGAGTTTTTCTTAGTGTTCGATCTTTGTATTCATGATTAAAAAATTCTAAAACAACACAGTTGTTATAGTATTAGAGACTTACATCAAGCTTAGAAACCTCACAAAAGGTTCAATAAATCGTCAAGGTATTATATCTAAAAGACGCTCTTAATTAGATTGCACAACCAATTAATTGGAAGGGCAAATATTATTGATTAAACAATTGAATGTCAAATAGCCCGATGAGTAAATATTTAAATGGGTTGTGGTAGATATCAGGTTTTTAAGCTTTAATGTGTGTTATATTACCTACATAATGTGTTTCAGGTTATTTACAAAAAACAAATAAAACGAAGGACATCCTTCTTAGCAAAAACATTGTAAACAAAATGTAGTTTATAACCGGCTTTTAGTACTTGGAAAGTGCTAATACGATATAAATTTTATCGAGTTCTGAGATTTTCGCGATTGTTACACAGAGGAAATGAAACTATTTTTTTTTCGGGTCTAAATCGCGTAGATATATTTGTTTTTCAAACAAACCAACATTTCTCGCCCTTTACAGTTCCCATGGTCACGGCTAACTAAATGTTGGTTTGTTTGACAAAACAAATATACGCGATATAGATACAAAAAAAGTCTAATATCCTAAATACAATTTTTTTTAAATCGTTACCTATTGGATACCACAAAGGTATCCAACAGGTAACGATTATTTTGTTAATCTAGCCTTATTTCTATTCGTAGTACCTACCTATCAAATTATAACTACACACACCGGCAAATTTAGCGGAACAAAAATGTGAGTATAAGAAATAGTAAAATTTATAAATATATAAATAAGAATTAGACATGAAATAGCAATTAAATTAACATCTTTTAACATCAATTTAGTATAGCCTCTATAAAAAACTACCTGTATATAAAAAAATAATAATTAAAAAATGTATTTTTTTTTAGATTTTCTGACAAAACAGATACGGTTATAAAAACACAGTTTTTGTTAAATCAATCAAATAATGAATATCACAGCTTTGTCAATATATATATTTTTTTAATTTATAAGAACGTAAAATCAAATTTTACAAATTAATGAAAAATAACGACAGTTAACGAATATTTTACTTTCAAATTAGATAAAATAAAAAAGTAAAATAACTAGCCACACTTTTCAAATAACACTGTGTTATTTTTGGGATTTTACTAGACTTCTGTTATATTATGTATCTTACAGAAACCTATAAATATAAAATCTTCCGAACTTTTATGCTTTTCTAACCCAAAATTGAATTTACATAGTTTTTAAATATTTCTGTGGCACAGACTCTAATCGAGAAGTGCTAAGACAGACAAAAATATAATTAAGAGCTGCAATAGGAAATCCTATAAAAATAAATAATAAATCTGTGTCGTAACATATGGGTGCACCGTTTTTTGTATATAAGATCATAGGGTGCACTGGAACATTATGTATTATCCACAAAGCTAAGTAGTAGAAATACAAAAGAGCACAAAACAATAATAAAAAAAAAACGATTAATAGAGAACTATGTATTGAATACTCCTAGGGTCGTATGCCAGAACTCAAGTCAGGACTTGAGTATGATTTATAGCACTAGAAATCATACTCAAGTCCTTGACATTAGGGTCGTATTTCCAGTGCTTGAAATCATACTCAAGTCCTGACTTGAGCATTGAATAGAGTTCTAGAATACGACCCTTAGACTATTTCCATTCTCTAAGTGAATACTACGATTTATATTTTTAATGAAAATGACGCAAGACTATGGTCAGTGTTTCCAAGTTTAAGGCTATCATCATTCTTCCGTGCCTTTGATGGAACTTTCTATGAATAAATCTTGGGGTTTTAATAAGCAGGAGGTTTAATTATAGTTTAGTACCTATAATATTCTTTAGCGTAATAAGTTATTTATTTTAACTGTTGGCAGGTACCTACCTAAACTACGGATTCGCACGAAGCCTTAGGTACACTTCCACATTTATATGGCAAACAGCCATCGACTTTTAGATGTGGAGGCTCCATCGATCGTCGACCTCATCGTCACTTTCCATCAGGTGAGATGAAGGTCAAATGCGCACCTACATTTTCATACAAAAAAAAACTAGGTATTAACGTTAGCATCCATCTTTGTAAGTCAATGCATCCATCCAAATCCTTCTCGTTTCGGCTACCATGATTTCAAATTTTTTATGATTTTATGACTGTAGCGAAGGTTTGTTATGATTAAGAATGATAAATTTGACTATATGTATGTATGTACATGCGAATAATTTAAAATTTACCATGAGTTTTTCGGTGAAGGAAAACATCGTGATGAAAACTGCACGTAAAAAAAATTCGCAAACGTTCCTTGGACAACGTGTGAAGTCTCCACCCGCATTGTGACAGGGTCGCGGATTATGGTCTAAACTCTTGCCTGAGAGGGAGGAGGCTCGTGCTCAGCTGTGGGACATATAGATGGGTTGATGATAATGTACATGAAAGGAAACTAATTGGACATAATAAAGTGTTTATATTTACTGTAATTTATGTGGTCTGTGACTGTAACTGAAGTGTTTAGGGCATAGGGTAAGGAAAAAGTGTGTTCTAAACGCTTTTTATGTGGGCGAAAAAGCTGCTTGGAACTAAACGTATCATTGACGTCATCTCAAACTGTTGTTTTTATGGCGTTGCCTTTTTAATAAATTTGTACATTGAAAGACTACGCCGCCATAAATGTAAAAAGCAGGAGACACAATTTGATACAAAAAGTGTCTGTGTAGAAGAGCTCTTTTATAATTCCACCACAAGAAGAGTACGGGTAGTAGCTGTCAATTCTAACAATGACAGTTGGATGGCTGTAAATAAAAGGCCAACAGAACATAGTTAGTGCAACGAATGTGATTTAATTTGAAGAAAATTTAGCATTACAGTCGTGAAATTTACTCAGCGGCAATGCTAAACATGTTCTGTTGCCTAAAAGGCTGCCTTAATGGGTTCACTTTGACGCCTACTGTACCCATGCGGGTGAAAGAGAATCCTGTGCAGCTTGATACTTTACACATGGGTAATAAGTTTAATTATTGCTATTCAAATGGTTTTTTATTATCTACTTTCCATATTTGATAAATTGACAATATGTTTAAACAATTACGTGGAAGGTTAGTGTAGATATATAAAACGTTTTGCAATCGATAAAGGTGCCACTAAAACAACTAGTTGTACGTGTTTGTGTAGGTTGTTTATATAAAAAACTTGTCAAACTGCATCTAAAATTAATAACAAGATCTTAGGTTATTAAAATCGGCACTACGATCTTCAATACTCTCTGTTCTAATCATTTCTACCATTCATTCATATCAATCTGTAAAAGCTCATGTAATAAGAAGGGAAACACATAATGTCTTTTTAGCTTTTATTGCATGGATGGGAGCTTTTCTCACCGGCAGAAACTGATTCTGTTAATAAGTGTGGTGATTTCCTGAGAATTATTTGGTTTACAGCATTTTTGTATTGTAGATTCTTATTTATGACTACAGTGTGAATGATAATAATTGATGTCCAAAATGCAAACAAAAAATGTCATGAAATGACAATAATCAGTAGTGTAACCTTCCATTTTGAATGGAATTGGAAAAGTAGGATATTCCCATTTTTTATAATTTTAATCATGTATATAAAATTTTAACAATAAACAAAAACTTTAACAACAACAAACAATAATTTTACAAACACTATGGAGACAAGAAAACATTCAAGTTCTACAAACAAAGCACAAATGATACCTATGACATGATAAAATGTTGGCTCAAAAAATGTTTTTGATCCTGATTGTGTTTTAAAATTATTTCTGACGTTAAGCATAATGTTTTATTATAATTATTGTATTAAGTGTTATTAAGTAAAAATGTATATTGCAAAATGCTAATTGTTCTAAGTTTCATCAGAATATAGCTTGAAAAGAGTTCTAAAAATTAATTATTGTCAAAAATAGGAAACTACGTTTTAAAATGTTTTTTTTCGTCCAATTCGTTATTTGTTATATTTTAGATTTCTAATTACGATTCATACATTTGATTTATATGATATACACTATTTTTATTGTCTGTACTATTTTTTTAAATTTACCCTAAATTTCTTTTACTACTGTTTATAATAGAACCAAAGTTTGTCTATATAATTATTTTTCAATACTTGCAATCAATTTTTAAAGAGCTTAACAAAGCAACAATTAATTATTCCAGGTCATGAGGTGGTAGTGGTAAAAGGTGGCCAACGAGTGTGTGGTTCGGGGTGCGTCCTAGGCAATGCTCCTTTGGTGCAAAACAAGGCTTATTTTGAGGTGAAATTGCAACAGGGAGGTGTGTGGGCAGTTGGACTTGCTACTAGGGAGACAGACTTGCAGAGGGTTCACGGTAAGATTGTCAGCTATAGTCATTGTTTTTTTGTGTATTCAGGAACATAACGCAGGGTGACTAAATGTGCTATAAATTTATCATTAGTACAATTTACTTAAGAAAAAGAAAGACTTTCCACAACGTAAAAAAGTGTTTGCAGTAGTAATGATGGTTTTACTCTGAAAAAAAAAAAAATATCACTGGACCATAGGTTTGTTAAACAATGGTTGTTTAAGCATATTGCATGTGGCACTACTGGTAGTAAGGTTTACTTACTTGGTACTTGGTGCAACGGGCTGGTATCCGCAACTCGACGACAAAGTGCCTATTTTGCGTGTGGTGGGTGCAGGGTCCTACTCGTGCCACTCAAGCTCCTCCAGGAATCTCAGCAGCCTCCTTGGTTTGCTGAAGACTTCGGGGAGCGACCTTGGCACTCCAAGGTACTTTGCCCTGTAGTTGGCTACGCCGGAGCACTGGAGTAGGATGTGCGCAGCCGTTTCCTCGCCCTCCATGCACGCTCTGCATAGAGGGCTGTCTGTGGTACCTAAATTGCGAAGGTGTTTATTGTATGAACCATGACCCGTTAGGGCGGCAGTTAGAGTGCGCAGCTCTTGCCTTTTAAGTTTAATTAGTATTCGAGATAGACTGGCATTGAGCGTTGGGAGTGCTTCCCTCGCCTGTCTACAAACCGTAAGGGTGGTCCATGTATTATTATGTGAAGATTTTGTACCTTTGTGTATAGTTGTTCTGGACCATTGGCAGGGAAGGGACACTATCGGTTCTGTTCCTACAGCGTCCGTCTTCGACCCTTTCCTGGCTAGTTTATCTGCTGCGTCATTGCCACGTAAGCCGCTGTGTCCTTTAATCCATTGAAGAGTTACGTGGTTTTCTATACATACCTCCATGAGTGCTTGATGGCATTCGTAAATGAGCCCTGAGTTTATGTCATAGCTATTCAGTGCTTGAAGTACTGACGTACTGTCGGAGAGTATTCGAATGGAGTAGTTCTTTACTCTTCTCGCTATGATTGCTTCTGCCGCCAACTTGATGCCCATGCATTCAGCCTGGAATACTGTGTTGTGGTCACCAAGTGGTGCTGATATCCTAATATTGAGGTCTTCTGAGAATACCCCAGTACCTGTTCCTGAGTTTGTTTTAGATCCATCAGTGAAGACTAGGACATCTCTGGGGTTCAGTTCTTTGTTGGGATCTTCAAATAATTGTATCTTGTATTTTTTGTCAAAGATGTATTGTTTTGGGATCCTATCCACAACTGCCTCCAGTAGCGGTTCCTCATTGACAGTCTTGTAAAGGATTTCTGTGTGTGGGGTCCTCATGTGCTTCCAAAGGCCGTCTCTGTTTAGACGCACTGCTGTTGACGCCGCTTCCTGTCTGATGAACAGTGGGAGGGGTCGAAGGTCCAGCATCGCTTCGAGGGCCGCAGTTGGAGTTGTCCTCATGCAGCCGGTCGTCGCCATGCAAGCGAGTCTTTGGAATTTGTCCAGCTTGTCGGTTGCGGTCGTCAGCTTGGTTCGTGGCCACCATACTATCGCGCCGTAACTGATCATGGGTCTTATCACCGCTGTGTAGAGCCATAGTGTTATCTTGGGTGAGAGTCCCCATTGTTTACCCACCATTCTATGGCACCCCGTCAGCATGGCCGAGTCCGTCCGTCCCACGCCTCGCCTGTGGCCCTCTGACGGGACACAATGCCATTTCCCTGTCGTGGCTAATCACAAGGCTACCGTTTAGCAGGAAATCAGGGCCAAAGGGGGCATTGCTTGCCGGAGTCCCCACCCCGCTCGGGCTCAACCCCCCAGGATTCCTTCATCCCTGCATACGGCGCTCAACTGCGTAGGCATTAACGCAGGAGGGTGTAAGTTTAGACTGCCCACCACGTGCCATGGTCCACCCCCAGAAACGCATGGCCGGGCCGTGTTGATCGCTTCGCGCCCTCACTGACTATTTTTAATAATAATAATAATAACGCACACACTCAACATAGCCCCGCACTAGGGAAACCCTGTGTCGCAGGTGCCATGGACACACACATAGACAACCACAAATTACACCCAAACTCACGAGAGAAATAATTGTAGGCCATACAACTATTTCTCCCGGCCCGGGAATCGAACCTGGGGGCCTCTGCGTGGCAGTCCGGCATGGTAACCGTTCGGCCACGGAGGCAGTTAAACTATTTTCAGACTGAAGCCGAGGATTGTCAGTGTTGGCCCCAGGGTGTACCGGCTACATCCTTGAGCGTTCTGTGATAACATGTTACCACAGATTGCTCAAAGACTTCGCACACGTGGAGGTGGAACAACTAACACACCCCTAGTAAGGTTTACATTACAATATGTTGCGTTTTGGCGCATCCTTATTCCAACATGTTAGGGCCAGCACAATGCATTTACCTCCATGACTCCATGTTTAATAATTCATATACTTGCAATCGAAAGTAGGTTAGATCACTTAATGTCCAACTATTTGGATCATCGAATTTGTAACACATGGACAAATGGTTTGGTCAATGTGATTAATATTTTTATTTGTAATTAAACATGTGTGGAATTTGATTAATAAGAAAGTGTGATGCCTAATTTTTCACTTCTTCTGGCTCGTGATAATTATAAATTTGAGTTCAGGTGTCGTGTCGTAAAGTCGCGACTACCTTAGTCTCGCATTGGTTTATATACACTTGCTTATATCATTAAACCCACTCGTCGAGGTGCAGAGTTGTAATCAACTTTTACACATTTTTTACAAATCCAATCTATTTTTAGGAGGAGTAGACAAAGAGTCATGGTGTTTAAATAGCGACGGTACCGTGCGGCATGCAAACGAAGAGCTCTACCACCTTAAACCTGCACCTCGCGAATCCCCCACGGCCGATCTTCTCGTCTCCACCTCCCCCAGCCACAGTGACAATGAAAAGCCTGAGAGTGAAAAGGACGACAATATATCAACAGCGGTCATGCCAGTCGAAGGCGATATCATAGGAATTGCATATGATCACATTGATCTCAACTTCTTTTTGAATGGCAAGAACATGGAGATACCTGTTAGGAATGTTAGGGGGACTGTTTACCCTGCGCTTTATGGTGAGTGTCAAAATTTGCCTACTTTATAATTATTTATTGCTGATAAATATTAGTAAAACAACTATTTTAAAATAAGGTAAGTACCCATACTCCTACCGATCACGTCGCGTTATCAATGTTGATGACATCATCACTGCATCAAAATACGCGATCACGTTTACAACTATAAACCCATTGCTCTACTTGCTAAAGTTCACTTGAGTAAGTTGCGTCTTATGAGTTCTAAATAAAGATGACTACGTTGTCATAGAGCATTACGTGCGTGGAATTTTGATAGATGTGGCACTACACTAAGTACGTACAAGAACTCATTACTCTTTTTAATTTCAGTGGACGACGGCGCGATCCTAGACATAATTCTAGACAACTTCCTGTACCCGCCACCGTCAGGGTACGAGAAAATCATGGTTGAGCAGTCACTTCTCTAACAAGAAGTTCAGGATCTCATTGGGAAACGCGAAACTTGCTTGGACACTCAGGTGTAAATATAGATAAATATGTATATATATGCTGGAGTGTGTGACCAGAACACAAACAGACCAGATCATTGTCTTTGTTGCGGCTTTTTATCGAGACAGGAGGATTGGTTTATTGGTACTTGATGTCACAGGAATGTACCTAAACAGGTAATAAGGCTGAACTCATCACTCATCAAAACATGAAGACAGAATGTGTGGCTCCATTCTATTTGTCAGTGCATTGTGTATGTCAAGCTTTTTTTTAAGATTTAACAACTGATATAAGTTTTCAAGGGTTGACGAGAAAAAGTGCGCTAGAAGTTCTTTAACGACTCTTGTATTTGTGTGTATTTATAGTATGTTGTCTTGAAAAGTATTCTTTGTATATGTTGTAAGAAAATCATTTCCGTATCATATTTTTATCTGAAAAGTGGTATGAAATACGCAGAAAAATTCTATTTTTAAGCAGACTATTGTGGCATTTTAAAATCAAACACCTGATAAATATTTTGATGTTCATAGTTAGACTTCATTGAAGATAATTTATTTTACAGGGTGTAATGCCCTAAAGGGTGACTAAAATTCGCACTTTAAGAATTCCAAATAATTTTATTCCTTGCTGTTTATCAACAGTAAATATCAACATTTTTTTTAATTTGTATATATTACGGTCTTATCTAATATTGAGTTTATTGAATATCACGATGTTTTACTACCATGATATTCAATTATTTTATGACCAAAAACAAAACTCTTTAAGAAGCACATAGAAAAATTAGTAAGGTCTGCTAGTTCGTTCCGTAGCTCAGTTGGGAGAGCGTCAGTCACGGAATGGCGAGGTCGGTGTTTCCAGTCCAGCTGGACCGAAGGAATTTTTCTGTGTTTCGATCCTTGTATTAATAATAATGATCTTATTTAATTACCTAGCTTTATAATGAAATTGTATAAATATGTGTAGTTATACCGTGTCTATCGGTGTCTATAACGTGTGATATATTAAAGGTGTTACAATCCACTGCCTGGTGCAGGCGGTGCTATATCAAAATATCGAATATTGTCTCTCTTAATAAGTGGGTCTACTTTGAAGTTCTTAAATAGCTGTAAAGCAATTCAGTATCGGAACAATTTTTAACGTTCTTATTTCCAAAAGAAATAGAATACTGTTTACTATACAAAATCGCGAAGTAGGGCCTAAAAGTAACGTTAACCGTTTTATCATATATTTATTTAAGATTAGAGTTATTAGCTCCCCAATCTTAGTACAAGTCGAAAACCAGTAGAGATACGAAATTTTTCGAAAAACAGTTTATCGGACTGATTGATGTCTATCGAAAAACTTCGAGCCGTCTCAATGGGAAGATTTGGCAGCACTGCGCCTTGAATGGCAGGGGATTGTGAAGAGGCAAGTCCACGAGCTCGAAGAGCGGCGTATAGCTGAACTCATCGCGAAACGCGACGAAATAAAGACCCGCCCACCTTCCGCTATTAACTATAATTACATTGGCGGTGTACTCACGTGCCTTCAATGTGCACGAGGGTTCGCCGCGACGATTGGCTACTTTAGTCATCTTCGAGCACATCAGCGCCAACTCGATTAGGAGTCGAAGTGGTTGCTTTGACCAAACACGATCGCATAGATAGATAGATCGAAAAAGAACTTGTCAACCAATTTACAGCGTGTACGGATTATATTTATCCAATTAAATAGGAAATAAATGTTATCAGGTTTTCTATGACCGCTAATTTCAGCACTATTATAAATTTAATTAAATTTATTTTATTGTTTATAACGTATTTGTTACGTTATTGACTCGACTACAGTGTGAGAGAGTTATTAAGGTGTGTAATAATAATAAATAATCAAAATACTTTATCAATTGTACATGTATAGCTATGATGGCTTGGTCTATATAGCTACGTAAGATGTTCCTTGCAAAGCTAACGAGTGCTCTGAGGTTTAACGTTCATTTACTTTCGTAATTCGAGGTTCTCGGAGGAGGTCCCGAATTCAATTCCCGGACCAATTTGGGAAATGAACTTTTGTAAATTGGTTCTGGTGTGTGTGGCCTGGAGTAAATTTCGTTCTCTGGTGCTCGTAGTACAGAGAATTCTCTAGTTTGAGACCAGGGGCCTTCTCATGAACTCTTATTTCGATTCAGTTTAGGACCTAAAATGAATCGTTCTGAGACAGCGCTACATGAAGTGTATATCACCATCCCACTTTGTTGTTGTTGCGAACCTATACTGAACTGTAATAAGAGTTCATGGTAAGGCACCTGTTCATTGGTGTGGTGATTCGGCACAATATTGTTATTATTATTTAATTAAAAGGGATAACATACACACAATTTTAGTTGTTAAACATTTTGCAAGTACAATTAAGTAATATACAACGATACAAAACATATATTATTGGATTTGATTAGAGCAAACTATACGGTGTTTATGACTTGATCAGAACGGGGGCCGCCATCTTGCGTCTCGAGGCGCCGGAAGCGCGGAGGCGATGGCAACCGGAAGTGGTGGCATAAACTGAGCTGTTAAAATTTTTCGCGAATTTGAATGTTGGTTAAAGTAATATACAAGTATGTATATAAATCACACACAAGGAAACAATCTTTTAGATTGATAGTCTAGAAGTTCTAGAAAGTACGATCGGAGTTATCATTACTCTGGTACTGGTACGCATAATACAGAAAATTCCCCAGTTCGATCCGCCTCGACGGACGATATAGTGGGAACTAGAGTCCTATCACGTACAAGGGGTATCTATCCGATGAATAAAACTAGCGGACTGCATTACATTCATATGTATTAATTTATAGATTCTTGCATGCATAAATCGTTCAGTCGTCTCCAATCTCAGCGCCCGATGCGCGCGCGCCGCGAGACGCGTCATTCGCGTCATCCCCCCAGCACCCCGCAATCCCATTTCCGGCTCTGGAGGTGGGTTTATTGATTCCGCGCTTGATCAATGGTGCAATAGATCCGGTATAAGGAATTTAAGTGGTATTTAAAGATTTCTTAGTACAACATTTTTATACAAATTTTTTTTACAAAATTCCGCACTGTTAGGTCGTAAATGTATATGGACACAATTGTACTCAAGATATGTATGTACAGTGGGGCCAAAAATGAGTTAACAAACAAATAGGATGCCGTTATCGTATGAAAGGTATTTGTACCGAGAGATTTCTGCACTTAGCGAGTACTCGTTAGTTTGACTGTAACCTTTAATAATTATGTTAGATAGATTTGTCTATATATAAAGTGAAATAAATATTTTTGTATGAATGTATTACAAGGTAATTTGTCATATTGTAAAACTCAACTTGCATACTAATTATCATGTTTTTTCTGAGTTATGATGCTTATCATTGTATTGTGATTCGGCCATCGGAAGAAAGAAAGGCACAATCAGCAAATTCAAAATTCGTAGATAAACGAGTTTAAATTTTCCGGGTTTTTCTGATAAAAAGAATAGTTAAAATAGACTTTTGATATTAAGTACTTTATACAGAAATGATCACTTTGTTTTTATTAGCCATTTTTAGAAAATAAACCTTAATTTTCTAATTTAACTCTGTAGAAAAAAAAACTGTTTAAGGACATAATTAACTTAAAATGTGATTTATAACAAATAAATAAATAAAATAAAATATAATTTTATTTTTATTTTTATTTATAACAATATACATAATATATAATACTTGACTTATAATATAAGTAAAGGGCACAATTATAGTCAGTTGTGTCTTTTTGTGTTGTTTATGAAGTAATTATTGTAATTGGACATCATAATTAGGGCACAATTCCGTACATAACTAAATTATTATTAAATTAATTATTAATTACCCGTTGATATGTGTTTTTGGCTTAATAAATGTCAAATAAGACGTTTTATCGGTGAAAATTTGATTATTGATGTCAGTTGTGCCTTTTCTTCTGCTGATTCAACAATGATTAAGATAGATTTCTTCAAAAAATTTGGCAATTTGGCCTTTTTCCCCGAATATGTGTGTATATATATATATATATATATATACACATTTTTACTGCCTCCGTGGCCGAACGGTTACCATGCCGGACTGCCACGCAGAGGTCCCAGGTTCGATTCCCGGGTCGGGAGAAATGTTTGTATGGCCTACATTTATTTCTCTCGTGAGTTTGGGTGTAATTTGTGGTTGTCTATGTGTGTGTCCATGGCACCCGCGACACAGGGTTTCCCTAGTGCGGGGCTATGTTGAGTGTGTGCGTTATTATTTATTATTATTATTATTATTATTATATATATAACTCAATGTCTATAAAAAATTTGGTTGTGTCTTTTGTCGTTCCGAGGGCTGAATTAGTTTTAACTTTCACTTTCATTAACCAATAAAATCATATTTTTATTAGCAAACATATACTTCAAAATATTGTTATGCCAAATATATTCATTTAATAATTATATCACATCTATGTGCATTACGTGTTCTGGTGTGAAAGGTATCATTTAAGGATGAATCAATACTTAAATATAAAAAAAAACAAACATTTACAAACAAACAAAAATGAAATTCGAAGCAATTTTTATTCAGAAATTGTCTCTTTTGTTTGTTATAATCTGAAGTATATAGATTTTAATCTATTGTATTTTTTTTTGTATGTAGAATTTGTACAATATTCTTAGCCATTCTTACTGATAAGAAGTCCACTAATGTTACATGAGCGACTGTTAGCTGCTGTCTAGTTTCTACGTCTCTATGCGTATAAGGTAATTTATAACTGCAGGAAAGCAAAATTATGATTAAATGCTAAATGAATGCAATTAAGTTTTTTTATTTCTAAATAAAAGTTGGCTGGAATCTGCACCACATGCAATGAAACACAACTTTGTAAAACATTCGCATCTCTAAGTTTAAAATAAAAGGACTTTCAACTTTTCTAAGTTAACAAGTTATTACTATTAGTACATTATTGCAGAGGCCGGGTAGTAAGGGATTGCTGGACGAGTAATTAATACGAGTGAAGCAATCCCTATTCCCGCCGTGTATTGTGCTTTTCTCAAACAATGTGAGGAAATAATAAAAGACTAAAGAGAGGAAGATGTATTACCGCCCTTTAGGTTTAGGTTTGCCTGTTTATACAGTTAATTGTTAGTCAATTGTTATTTTATTAGATAGATTTAAAAGTTTAGGGCAACGGAAAGTAATGGATTTTCATACTTTACAGACCTTGGCCGGGAAGAAGTAATACGGTCCACAGGGGAAGCGGGGCATTTTGATACAGGGGGCACATTCATACACCCATACTTTCCATCCATACCTTTAGACATAATATTAGTTGTGATTACACTGAAACGTGTCTTTGTACGTGTGAGTAACATACATGCGAAGATGCAGTTCACTAGTTAACTGTTGACGTTCTATAGGTCACAGTGTTTTCACAGTCGTTGACTAAAAAAATAAGCGACACAAATATAAGTATGACTGCAGTCTTGTTCACTTTACAGGATCTATGTCTTAATACAGGGCAAATTAGTATTTTCAATACCTAGAATTGCATGTGATTTTGTGGCAATTTATAATGATTTTTATTTAAATAAATGTTTTTTTTCTACACTGGCCGGTGGGGTATTTTTATACACTAGTAAATAGGGCAGTTTACTATGTATCAAAGTGTCCCTATTAGTTATTTTGTATGAAAAATATAAAACTATTATAATATAATTAACCAGTAAATTATTTATATTTACATACAAACCCAAAACTGATAAAAATCAAATTAATTATGAAGTCATTAATGAAATCAAGTGGGCAATGTCTAAGTTGCTGCGATGTCTTTACGACAAGCAACAAGTAAATACGAAAATAAATATACATAATGTTTCCAATTATCAGTACCACATTAAAAGATTTAAATCTGCAATTAAAAAAATAAAGCCAATTGCATACTTGAAAGTACACAGTTGTATAAGTTTAGTACTCACTGCTGAGCAGTAGAAAACCTTTGTGCATCATGAAGTTTTGTGTTTAACAAAACCGCCGTTACAGAGTTCTTCTTTGACAATTATGAAAGGGTATTGTCGAAACACAAAGAAGTAGTCTGCAGAGAGAGGTGAACTAGTGACATTTTGCGCTATAGTCGGCTCTTCCTCCTGTATTTCCTCTTCCAAGACTACATTGCAAAGAACACTTTTCAAATGGTGTCCTAGAAAGAAGTCTTGGTCTAGCAAGTGTTGAAGCCATTGACTTACAAATAAATGAACGACGGGTCTAATACAAAACCACGAAAAAAATGTCCCAAGTCAACCTATTTAAACGTAGTGACATGTAAAGGAATATGAAAAAGCTAAAACGTTGAATTTAAATAGTAATGTCATCGCAGTACTGTCCAATTTTACTTGCTTCGCTGTCAGTCGAACAAACGAAGACTAAAGCGTGAATGACGCTCTGTATACGATTTTAACGCCCTATAAGTTCGGACACTTTTTAGCGCGGACCCGACGTCCATATAATTGTAAGTCAATGGTTGAAGCATATAAATCGTCATACTTTACGAACAGTTGATTATCAAGTGCTCGCATCGTAACCAGGAATGGCACACTACTTTGAATCATACATCAAAGTGCCCCAAGCGATATATCAAAGTACCCCACAGGTGGGGCAGAGTTGGACAATTCCCTTTTTATTGTTAAAATCAAAATTTTTCAATAATACAATGCTATTAATTTTTATTAGTTATGTCATCAATTAGGCAGAGAAAATATACATTGAAATTTGAAGTTAAAAAAGTATACGAATCTGCCCCGCTTCCCCCTAAATGACAAACTTTCCGTGTTTGTTTTTTGAATGTAATGCGGCATTATTAGAAACTTTGGAAATTCATAACTGTTATTTTCCCAGCACGTTAAAAAAGTTCTTTATGACGACATTTCTTCAATAATACACAGAACTTATGTTAGTTCCCGAGGAATAAAAGTAATTATTATTCTACTCTATAATGGCAAATTCAAAACATTTTTGTACTTTACTATACTCCATTGTTGGGGCAACCGTATTGCGATTTTGACATAGTCATTCGTGTTCCATACATTTTTCCTGTTACAATTTAATAACTAAAAATATTTCATAAGTAATTCGAACAAAGATTAATTTTATTCTGCCTGAATAAACTCAGTATCTACTTAAATACGCAACATAAAAGGTAATCTAAAAGTAAACAAAGGATGGGATATCGTGATATGGCTGGTTTTAGGACAACATTAAGGAAGGTTTATTATTTTACAGGAAATTAAAATGACCCTAAATATTAGATATTTATTTAAGACTTTTAAAACGTTGAAATATGTTTTGTGATTTAGTTGTTTTAATATAAATGGCTTACGTAAACCAAACAAAGAAAATTGGCGTTGTGAAATAACATTTGAAAAATATATATAAGTACCTACTTGCTTAATAAATATTATATTCCACTTTCATCATACATGGAGCAGTTGTAATAAACTTCAAACAATATCATGGAAATCTTTGAGGTGAAATTGCAGGCACATGGGACTTGTAAACTTATGTCTCAGATCTTTGTGATTTAAAGCACTGAATGGTACTGAAACTATCATGAACAGGCTTGTCACTTACCACCAGCTGGGCGACTTGTTCGTCCCGTTACTTGATCTCATAAACAAAAAAATCTTCCCTATGAATGTGTGAATGAGTGTGTGGGCGTGTGAATGAGTATGAGAGTGGGTGTGTGAGCGTGTAAGTATGAGTGAGCTTGAGTGTGAGTGTGCGTGAGCAAGAAACATGAGCGTGAGCGGGAGCGGGTTTTTCGGAAGCTTCTATATAATATACCAAATAATGTACTTGTCTTTATCCTTTGACTAGAAATGAAGTCTACAGTCTACAAACATTAAGTAACCGGTATACTGATAATCGAGATTGAGTAACCAGTATGTAATTTTATTCTTACTTTCAATATTTCAAATAAAATAATTGCTTAAAACTATGTTAAAGAAAAGGTAGAAGCCTCAGCAATTGTCTGGTTTTCAATATGGCCTTTGGAGACGGTGTAGCATGGAGAAACGAGTATCTTTTGATTAAATATGTATAAGTAAGGAGGCACTACGTAGAACACTTACTACAGAAATAATAATGAGTAGTTAACTGCCTCTGTGGCCGAACGGTTACCATGTTGGACTGCCACAGAGAGGTCCCAGGTTCGATTCCCGGCCCGGGAGAAATATTTGTATGGCCTACATTATTTCTCTCGTCAGTTTGGGTGTAATTTGTGGTCTATGTGTGTATCCATGGCACCCGCGACACAGGGTTTCCCTAGTGCGGGATTATGTTGAGTGTGTGCGTTATTTAAAAAAAAAGAAACAACATTAAAACTTCAAATGACATACGTACCGATTACCGATCATACTGCTAAGTGTGTACTGACTATTTTACTCTGCAAAGAATATAACAGGAAAATAATGGAATTTAAACGAATTTAGACTATATTAAGAATTAATTAATAAT